CTCTTTAATTTATATATTAGTGAATGATTATTATTATTATATTGTGGCTTGCACGTTACGGATCCATGAAAATTTGCTTCGGATGTGATCAATCTTCTTGATCATCTCAAGAAAAGAAAAGAAAAAGTTTACGAGTGGCATGTGAATTGTAGATTCGGCAAAAAACGAGGGGTGATTTGGTAATTTTAAAGAAGGTGTCTCTGGTTTCGTGTGGTTGAAGATTATTAATAAGCTTGTGTACTTTACGATATTATTTATACAATTGTGCGTCACAACTCACTACCCAATTTCTCTCGACAAAGAAAAGTTTGCTTGGCGTATAAAATAGTAAGCTTTGTAACGTGTTCGACTTGTATTGTATGGTAGTATAAGATTATTTTGTTTTTTCGATTTTTTTTATTAAACTATATAATAGAGTTTACGAATTATAAAATTATCATCAACGCATCCAAAACATTTTTGCAAATTTAATAAAAACTTTATTTACATAACACAACAAATACTTTAGCAAAAATTACTTAATTTGTAAACTAATAATAATTTTACTTTGTTTTTGCTATATTTTTCCTTAAACATCGATTACATTGATTAATAAGCATTTTACTAATCCAAATTGTCGAGTTAATAATGGATGACAAAACATATCATGTTGAGCAAACTATTCTTGATTTCAGCAAAAAAAAAAAGCTTTGTTCGGAATTTCCACAGTGATACTGATTCTCGGCTGTGAAGAGTTTTAGCGTCAGGTAGGATTTCCGACAAAGCACATATCTGGATTCGGTTCAACCTGCCTGTTTTTGGTTTTTCCAGTCATCGGATATGCGTGAGAGAGAAGACGAGAGAAAATGAATCAATGAAGACAATGAATACACGCAAGTATAGAAAAGAAAATATCTTTTGAAAATCCTTTTGTCTATGCAGTTAAAGAGCAGTCATGGCATCCAATATGTTGCAAGACATGTAAAAATCCATCAAACTTCACTCCATAACACGATATCTTGAGAAACACCAAGCATGTGGATTATTCTCGCAACAGACTTTGTCAAAACAAGTGCGGCAATTCCCAAAGCTTGCATCGTCCATCTCCAACCGATTTTTTCAATGACAAAAAGTAATCCTCTTTGTTTATAATCTTCATGTTCTTAACAAAAAAATAATAATCTTTATGTTACACAATATTATCAAATTTTTAGCTCTATGCAACTATCATTATTGTCCAATGAAACATGAAATGACTATTACACTCATTTTGTTTTGTTAAATGACCATCCATCTTTATTCGTGAACTTTTGAGGGTATCATTAAATATAAAATTATTAAAAACACATTNTNTCTTCCTTTTACTTAATTTTATACCTTCTCNTTCATCCTTTTACTCAACTTTTATTAATTTTATACTCTCTTTAAATATAAAATTATTAAAAACACACTCTTTATCTCTTCAAAAGTATCAACTATTTGATACTTTTGATACTCTCTTTCTCCAAAAATACCCACTATCTCTTCTTTTTACTCAAATTTTATTAATTTTATATTTCAATACACCCCATTATTTCAACCAAAAACACTCACTTTCTTCTTTTTACTCAAATTTTAATAATTTTATATTTAATGATACCCACCAAAATTCACCAATAAAGATGCTCTTACACTTATAGAACCCAATCCTACTAGAAAAATC